AAAAATCAACTTTCTTTAAAACTTACTGGTCACAGCTGTAATAATTCTTCAAGTATTCGTTACATCTGTTTATTACCCGCTGATTGTTCGTTTTTTTACAGAGTTGTACCAGGTCCTGCTGTCTAAAAAAGAATTAAGAGCTATTTATATAATTTAATTCATATTTACAATAATAATAGAGAATCGACACTAGATAGATCACTACATTAAAACAGTGTGTATGGCTATGCAAAGTTCTATTAGCGTACGTATAACGTGTTGTATCTTGTATATGAATCGGAGTGGCAACGGAAACTCTCTCTCTTAACCTATGTTTTACCAAGGTGACTGGTACCATCCGATAAAATGAGTAATGTCCATAGAAGTAATATGTTGGTCGCAGCATTTCAATGCAGCTCATTAGCTACTATATTAAGGTTATAACCGTGCTAACCTTTCTTGTAGTCTTCAGGTTGAAGCTTGAATAAGCAAGACTTCATTCAATGATTGTAACGGCACAACACTTCGATTAAGTGACTGCAGTTACCCCTTCAAGTAATCCCGATATCGATAAAAGTACTCTGCGCTCTTCACAGCAAGTTACGAGATGATAACATCGCACCATTGCACCATTGCGTTTACTCAAACTGTTTTCCACCAAAGGGTTTATCACAATTCAATAAGGAAAAGGTCGTCTATGTCCAGATGCCGATAATTCAGACAAAAGTCGGTAATAAGTCGCCGCGTTCTATTGAGGGCTTCGTACCCGATACTTGGAAATGACAAATATCTTCGGGGTGCGGAGCTCTTGAATTTTCACATCACGGTCACCGTTTGACACCAGAAGTCATCACGTGGTACCTATGTCAAGTAGAAATTCATAAGCATTAATATCACTTGTTGTTGTTGAGCCCTGACCGATCATTCACTGCAACGCTAAATTCGTAAAACAGCGTAGTTCGTCATAGTCCTATATCACCCGATACAAACTAGCACCTGTTGTTCAGATGAATATGTACAACCACTGTTTCTGCATGACGGCTTAGACGAAGAGATATTTCGGGCATTGTACTTCAACTATCAATCTCCCATTACAAATCCGCTCTGTGAACGACGTAGCCACACAATAGTTACTGCAAAAATAAAGCTATCCCTACCGGCATCACCCAGTATAATGCCGTTAGGCGAGAAGGGGTACTATTAACTGGCAGCAGCGTTCAATAATTTCCAGTCCCCTTTGGTGGTCTGACCATGTGCCGCGATGTGCGGCTTTGCGTGTCCCCGTCTTCTACGTGTGTTTGCCCACGGCTTCATCTATATAGCACACTACGTAAGAGTACTAGTGTTTATCGGCCTACCAGCCACTACTACTTTCTTCTGTATTTATTTTCCGACAGACCAACGTGCTTTTTGTTCGGCAGTTACCATTCTTCTGTCTTGTTATGGCTCCGTGAATGTACGTTTATCCTCTGACTGATGTTTGTGATAGCGGCAGTAGTAGGAGCTCCGATGCCGGTGGAGGAGGTTGCATGTACCAGCTATAATGTTACTGTCATGTCTGCTGTAGAGCCGGCGTCGCACAGCGTGGAACTTAAGGGGCAGATATATGTGCTCGCGTGCGCGATTCACTGAAGGAGCAAACGGCTAAAAGCAGCAGCTGGTTACCTATGGACCAGCAACTGCTAAGCATGTCTATGAACGCCAATTGGCTGACGACGCTAAAATATATTCACTGGCAGCAATCGAAAACACTCAATGCCATGTGTAGCACAGGTTTCGGCCAACTAGACTGTGTCCATAAAGTTTTTCACGCATAATTTCGGTCTTCCGGTGGGAACTCGGCGTAAACGAACAGTTCCCTGATATTGAAATTTATGTATTAAAGGAGAGCAGACTTGAAATGAGCTGACTAACAGACGTCGATAAACGGTGACGTTTTGTGTCTGATGCGGCCGCCAAGGTCGACACTACGAAACTACACCAGAAACAACGAACAGAAACAGCGGAAAAACAAAACTGGTGCACAGATTGAATTTCAGCCGGGTTGGAAAGGCCATAGACCCTTGGCGGAAGAAAAGAAGCAGCAAAAAACGTAATATAATGACGCAACAACATGTACACACACACGTGCGCAACACTGATCTCAGCAGATAGATAGGCACTCACCGGCACACAGGCCTGAATGACGCAGGAAAAATAATGTATAAGGGGGGGGGGATCTGCTAAGCCATAAGGATATTGTAGCCCGCATAATACGTAGCAAGCGATGTTATGCAATGATATCAAATCTATCGAATGAGCGAATGTCCTTCCGTATTGTAGCCCGAATGAGCATAGCTACAGTTGTAACGATAATTATGTAGTAAAGAGGTTACTGTCACGTTTTCTATTCATGTACTACGGCATATATTTCATGTTTTCTGGCATTCATATATATCTATACTAAAATGTATTTGATACCAACTCCACCCCCTTTCCCTTTAAACCATATTGTGAAAGATATTAACGCGCAGTGTTTCGTTGATAAGAATTGAGGATCATAAAAAGTAGGATAATTAAGCCAATAAATGTTCGTAATACGAACATCAAGAATAAGTCGAAGTCAACGACGCTTCAGAAAGTATTAAAGTTCTTGAGCCAGCTCAGTCATGACGTGCCGAGGTATCCCGCTTCGCTGGCCAGAAGATGTTGCGTATTGTATCGCGTCGCGTGCAAGCAAACGAGGATTCGCTATGAGACGGCTGGTGAGCATTTTCTGTCACGACCAAATACTCACGTGCTTCTACAGAACTAACCGATTACTCAACTTTTGTTGAATGATGTTCGCAAAAAAACATAAAAATATGCGCTGACACAAGGATCATTCATACTCTACCATGTGAACGTGTCACTGGTATATACGAATTAAGAATCAATTTTATATTATAATTTAGGTAGGCATTTATCTCATGTTTTTCACGATATTCAACTCACATATTTGGCTAAGGATTACATTCAAATGAGAAAATTTAACTAAACCGCGTTGAGAAAAGGTTAGGGGAAAATATAGTATACCTATGTGAGGATAACAGAGATCCGAAGCACATTTATAGCTTTCAATTCAAAGGGCTTTTCGGAATGCATAGCTTAGATAATAGTATATTGCAAAGGAAAAGCTGTATAAGATAAAAAAAAAACATTGGCACCACCTTAATGCGACACCGAAAAAATTCTCTTTAGTAATCATACATTGAAATAGCACGGTCACTTTTTTTTTATACAACTCAAAATCAATTCCCAAAAAGCATGAAATATTTAATATGAAACAAACTCGACATAAATTAACTACCTATTTGCTAATTAAAGTCAGTTTAGCGTATCTAGAACCATAGCCAAGGCAATACACGATGTGCCTGTGAAAAACCGATTGAAGATAATAATTACTCAACAATACATATATGGGATGGACTTACGTGCGTAGAGATAGCAGGTCCTAACGGAAGAAAGGATAGAGGAGATAATATGTACGAAAGCGTAAACACTTACAATGTGTCAAAGATCATTTTGCAGAAGATAGTAACTCTACGAAGATATGCTCTCCAATAACTGAAGTAGATAAAAGAATTAAACTTAAACCAGCGTGCGCCACCCTTTTAGGACGCCTTGATAGTATATGGTAATCTACTAGAAGCTGGTTACACGATAAAACACAGCCCACTTAATTCCAACGTGTGTATCTAATATAAAAAATAATGTGCCGTGCTGTATGAATGCTCTAATAACTTTTGTCGACACAAAAAATTATTTATAATTTTAGTTAACATATACAAATACTTTTTTAGGAAAAATACCTGCCGCGCGTCTACCCTCAAAAACAGCTTCACTAAAGCTTCAGTTTACTGTGTTCCTTTACTTTGCATCTGGCCGCAACAATAAATTTAACAATAAGTCGTTTAGCTCATGATCAAATGGATTATATTCGTTCACAGCCAGTTGTTTCTTACGTAAGGAAGGCTGTAAAATAAAAATACCGTTAATTTCCATTAAAAATACCGTTAGTTTTTTACAGAACGTTTTCCCTACTTTCTGCAGTGGATCCTTAAAGATCTACAATAATAGCCCAGACCTCTCTGTTTCGTACGCATTGTTATTGCTGTACAGATCTAATGTAGAAGGGCCGTCTAGTCCAGCAATACTTCATCGCAATGTTGTTTTTTTTTAGGAAAATGTCTTCATCTCACGAGTTTTAGAATTCCAAAAGGATAAGAGCTTCTCTGTTACGTTTCGGCTTGTACCGTATCTTAAATATGCTAACAACCCAACAGTTTCTTATTCTGTAACCAGACACAATTTGTAAAAAACATTTTAACAAGCTGTTAAAAGAGCTACTTTTTCCTTAGATAATCACAATAGTGAATTAATTCTAATCAGAAGGTCATTAAGTTACGATAATAAATTGAGAATATTGCTTTTTCGACTGTTCCTATATGGCCATTAGACAAATGGCCGTTCAGCCGGTTCAGACAGCCATCTCTCATCTAGTCAAACCGACAATTATATTAATCAACGCATTTGCTAAATGTCCCGGTATAGAAAACTGGAGAAATGCACTCGCCGGTATGAAAATCGCCCGTTGTTGTCCGCGTAAGGGCATCTTATGTAAAAATCAAAGGATATGTTTAAATCCATAGACATCTGCAAAAAAAGGCGCTGCTTGATAGATTCTACTGATGCTATGCATTCGCCTCTTATTACCTTATTTACAGACCGTCCTTGTGTTCAAATTTATGTACCAACTGTAAAAGCCGACCTTGCAAACATATTTTTCAAGGTAGACTCACGAACGAAGTAAGTTTTCCAGTGAGTTTTTCACATAATGAATGATTAAAAGAGCCCTCTCTAGCGAACTCTGTACAAATTTCGCTAGGAAATCCCTTTTGTACTTAGGAATACTTTTTAATTTAATATATAGCGATTTAGTGGTCCGTACTGTATACAGAAAATGAGCAGATATCTACACAACTGATTAGGCATTTATTCATTCCTAAAGCACACAGTTCTTATTTGACATAACCATTATGTAATAAAACGTTTAATTGGAACATAGTTTAGACATACGTTATAGCGAATATAAATATTATGCGCCCAGTAATTACAAACTGATTTGCTTCCAACGAAAGCGCTTGTTAATATAATTTCACTCTTTTAGAGTGTTTTATTAGTTTATGTTTTTTAGAGAACCGAATGCTTGTCTAAATGTTTTTTACTACGAGCAACAAGTGAACACAAAGAAAGAAATTGATATTTTTTTGTATTGGCTAAAATAGCTAAGACAAAATAAGTTTATAATAAATAATAAACGTCTCATTGAAACAGATTTTTTTACAATTAGACGTATAAGCAGATGCCGTTTTCAGCCGGTTTTTCGAAGGTGCTGCGGCGCTAATAGAATGAATGAAACGCATTCCAAGCGATCCAAACATATGCTCCCTTGCACCACATGTTAACAGATAACACTCAATTACTTGGACGTTGAATACATCAAAATCTCTATAGATTTGTGTTTATTTGCGTAATATTTTATCAGACATTTCCGTGGCAATATAATTTACTTTGGATAGCACTCTGTAATCGTGAAAAACCACTATGTATTGTTACTCTCTTAAAGCCATTTTTGTGATTGACCACTAAAGAACAAACAGTAATACCAACAGACTCAGCATAAGTCATATTTCACGACGTTCTTCCGTTCAGATGTCACCCACCTCTTTTTATAAGCACAGCAAAACCCCCTAACCAATTACAACTTAATAGATATAGGAATTTACCTTGAATGTGATACGTTTATCACGACATATACAAATAATGCGATGTTGCGCCGAAAAGAAACTGATTAAGGTGTAACATGTTAGAATTTTCACGTCAGCTGTCTCATGGGAGTCGAATTCAGCCTTCTAACATAATTCTAATGACATAGGTTTTCAAAGATCATCATATTAACCTACTTAAATGAAGGACAACTTACGACTTACATAATAAACGTAGTTATTTGAATATAGGAGGATAAGTATGAGACATAATCTTATCGAATGTCCTAATAGTACAAACTACAACGCAAAAAAGGTTTCCCTAAAATTCAAGTCCAGTTTTTAATAAACCTCACCTTTTCTTATGCTTATATTCAGACATGTCCGACTATGCGTGCTGCGTATCTGATATTTACAGCTGCAATATCGTTACATATTTAGCTTGAGCTGAACCACCCGATAGCAGTCTATGAGGAAATTTATCGATCCGTTAGAAGTTGAAAAACACACTATATTGTCTTAAAGCATATACGCAGGACGCTGAGTGAAAAAAAAATCATGCGGACGCAAATAATTTTGGAGAAGCATTTGGGTCAAGCTGCTATTCTTTACTCAGTTATCTATGGTATATTTTTTCATCATTAAAACGATTTTACCGGAAGAAAGCTGGCGTGAAACACTACGACCTGAACACAATTTTCTATTTCAACTGGAACGAAGCTATTTTAGAACAGTATTTACCTATGAGAATCTAAAAGTGTATGACACTTTTCTCTAGTAAGCGTAAGTTAACAGCTTGAATAGCTTCAGTTAGATAACCAAAACTATACAGCATTAGAAGTATAAATATGATAAAAGGTGCAATTATTACCCAAGATATGTGTTCTTGAAGTAACCAACCATTTTTTTCTCGTTATAAAAATACGTTATAGGTATGTTTAAGTGTCACTGCAGAATAAGAGAACGAGCAATATAATAGATTTAGTTCTGATGATGGTGCGTGGTTGGCTACAGTTAAACTGCTGCAATTTCTTATACTAAAAAAAGTGTGTTATTATTAAACAGGGCACTTACCTCTTAACCTACATACCAGATGGTGTAACTTCATCTTCCAGTACTACTTACATACTATAACATAGATACTATGTATATTACATCACTTATTGGTATGATAGCAATTGCCACCTATTGCAATTCATTTGGCAAACATGTTTTTCAAGAGTTCTTTATCTTGTTTGTTCTTTATATGTTCTTGCTTGTCAATCTCTTTTAGAGCATTCTCTACCGTTGTCTTCTGCGATGGTTCTACTTGCAGTAATCTTGAGAAATCTTTTCGAGCTTCTTGCGGGTTCCACGCACCTACATGAGCTTTCGCCCTTCGGTAGAGAGCTTTCGAGTTGTTTGGATCCTTGACCAAAACATCGGTGCAGTGTCTACAAAAAGGAATCAACATGAGATGTCGTTCAACGATGACATACAAAAACGAAAAGCTAGAGATCCAATCTACAGAATGTTAGGTGTGTCATAAACCAGCTAGAAATGTAATTCATCTAACAAAAAATGAAAATACTTTTGAATGACGTAACGTACAAGGAGCTCAACAATGAAGAAAACTACCAGCTTCCACCGGTAATTCTATAGATAAACCTGTAAATGCTTACAAATAATGCCCCATACAGTTTTACGAATCTAATTGAAACGATCATTCTAAATCTATCTCTTCGTCGCACTACCGCGAGATCTCCATGTATATACTAAGAGTTCTGCAGAGCAACTGCCAACTTGAAAAAACCTTCGCTATGCGCTGCTTTATTTATATGTTACCTAATAACCTCGTAGAACTCTCCCTGCGAAAGTTTGCATTGGGCGTAGTTGAGAAGAATTGGCCATTTTAGGTTCTCGATTGCTCGATACTCTTCTCCTCCAGGCTTTTCACGCAAAAGCAACGTTTCCAGATGGCTAATCGCAGCGAAATACTTTGAAGACGCGCCTGCAATGTCACCCTGCCTAAAAAGCTAACAGGAAAATACACACACAAACTTTTGTTTCAATCACTGTATGGATCAGCTAAGTGCAAATAAACGCATATATATTAAATAGCTTCAAATCACATCATAATATCATCTATCACAGAAATCCGGTTCTATTGCCATTAAGGACTGCTCCAGATGACTGGCTTTTTAGAACTCCTGTGTACCCTCTGTTTCAGCCTTTCACTATTTTATGTTACCTTAAATTTAGTGGGTGATCCACAAAAGAGTAAAGGCAGTCGCAGGATAAAAACGTTTTAATCGCCAAGCAGCATAATTTAATCGGTGAAGCGCTCTGTTCACTGCATCAGTTTATTCCTGGCGTAAATTTAAGTCGTGCTGAGAGCCAAATGTATTTTTCATACAAAAAAATTTCTTTAGTACCTAATCCTACTTGATATGGTAGTTACAGCGTACGCAAAAAGCACTGATTCTTACGCACGAAACAAATTTTGCATGATGGGCGGCACTTGTAACTATAACAACAAGATGTGGGTAATAGCGGCATCCGTAACCATTGCAACAAACAGCACGTCCTTTCGTTTATCAGGAGCACAGACATTGTGAAACCATATTTCGGTGATGCAACAAATTGGACAGTAAAGAATGGAAAATAAGCTGGCACAAATCACTTCACGTTAGGGCTGAAATAGGCCAATATAATGGAGTGAGCTTAATCATGCTGTGAGCTCCCTTCCGGATGACATCGTAGTGATAGGTCTCGGTTCAGATCCAGAATGATTCAACAGACAAGGAGTAGAGGCCACGCATTAAACAACCTTGAGGTTCTGTAGGCCAGTATGTAATCAGTGTACCATCACAGGGAAGCATACAATAAGCAAGAATATACATTAAAAGTTATAATATATAACACTACTAATTGCTGCCGATAGTTAATTTTCTATTTGCCTACTAATATAAGGCTTGTTGAACAATTAAATAGTTAAAGAGGACAGCAGATACAAAATAAGAGTTGCTCACCTTGTTACCCTCTTCTTTAAGGCGAGGGACATTGTTTAGTCTTTCCTCAGGTGTCATACTCCATCCTTCTTTTTCATAGGAACCAGCCTCTTCAATAGAAAGTATCTCGAACGTAAATTTTAGGTCACATGGTTTCTCTAGAAGAGAATCAAGTTTAGGGCACCCGGTCTTTTCTTTGAGCATCGTTCCGCAACAGTGGTGTGAAGATAGCTCCTTCGAAATACCTGAAAACGAAATGCAACGAATAGATGCGTTTTTAGTATCAAAAATTTAAGGTGTTAGATTATTCATTTTTAAGCCTACCATACTGACATTTGACTCCAGGCAACAGATAAAAATAGCACTTACAAAAACATTATAACATCCATTTTTAATAAACAATCGTAATACATTAGATGAATTAAAATAAACCTGCATTGCATAGCTGGTGTATTTGCCAGTGCTCCAAAATGGTTCGCATCAACTTGACTTTCTTGCTTTTATGCCTACCTGCATACTGTCTGTAGCCCTTCGACACAAGAAAGTAATTTGCACAAAGTTTTTTATCGACCACGAATTCTGCCACCTCGCCGCACAGCATCGTCTTCAAGCACTCTTCCCAAACCGGAAGTTTAAATTCCTAAAGTAAATAGCCAATAATGTTTGGTTAGTGTTGCCGTTTCCAGGATAAAAAGAAAACTGTTCCATCGCGCATTTAAGTATGTTGAAGTACACTTAAATGTTGACAGTTGTCTTAGGCGACATGTAGTCATCACCTTGCTTTAGATATTGCACAAAAATAACGCTGCATATTCTAAACAGAAACTTCTGAATAAAGTGTGAAAGAAGTGTACCGGTTAAATTTGTCCCCAAAAGAGGTTCTTGAAAGGCTGTATAGACTGTACTTTTCGGCGTTCTTTGGTCAGTACATAACGATTGTTCAGACTTGAAAAGTAGTGGGTATCGTAATACTGACATACTCTATATCGCTTGCACGTTAGGAAATTTACATGTAATCTTAAGTTATATCGATTCGGAAAAATAGAGCTGTTCTTGTCTAATAAAATTAAACCACTCGAAGGATTACTTCAAAGAATTGACTATGAGTCTTGTCAAGTGCAACTAGATATAATAAGACTAATTTGCGCGGGCAATATAGAGAGCCGCTATAATAAGTGAGTCTTCTCAAACGCTTCTTTGCCACCTTTATAGCCAGCCACATGAAATTGGGGAACTACAATTTTGGAGTAGCTGACTCACTGATAGTTGTTTCCCTATAAGTGTATATTTCTTCAGCAGAGAATAGGACGAGTGCTAAAACAGCTTACCTTCCCAAAGATGAGTTCCATAGGTTTACCGGTTGCCTTCGAGTCTTCGATACAGAAGTTTTCGTCTTCGCTATTGACATCGGTGCGATTCGTAATGAAATGAAACCGAACCCTGGTTCCATCAGGGAACGTGGACTTTGAACCGCGTCCGGCAAATTTTACAGTTTTCTGCACTTTAGAAGGCTCCATCGCAAAAAATAATTATTTACTCAAAGAATGAACCAACAGAGTCCAGTAAAAACAATCACTGCAGAATGTTTTCTTTCTATGTTTTTTCTCTAGCTAGTCAACATATTACCAACCACAATAGCCAAGCGATCAACACCACGTAGAAGTGGTTTATTACAAAAAAACTGCTGAATTCTAGCCAAACTTTTCTACGAACAGCCTCACGTCCTCCATGATTAATCGCTGCAGCATATTAACGTACAGGTTTATCGTTTCGCTAGTCTGAAACCTACATTTTTTCAAGACATAGACTATCTGTTAAACTAGTAATTATTCTTGGGTATCCAACGGCCGGTATATCAATATGCTTTTCAGGTCCAGCAGCTGACTTTTCAGCGGTTTGGTCCTGTGTATTCTCTGTATCTGTTGTTGACTCTTCGTCGTCTGCTTAAAACGTGGGTGGAAAGTGAACGGCTATCAGATAAACATTCGCGGTCCGTCGGCTACAGTGGAATTCGCTTGGAACGAATTGAAGTACCCACTGGCCTGTTGTTAGAGGCTTCTCTTGGTAATCCCGCTAAAAATCGTTCACTGAGCCCTGTGCGGAGACGTTTTGACCTGTGAGCTTTGAAATTTCGAAGGTTTGTGTCGAGGTGTACCTTGCGGCTGGAGCTCTATCCTACAGGTATTGAGAGTGGAAGAAGATGTTGCAAAGAAGCCTATCCTTGTTCGTAGGGATTGCCCTACGGCGTGAAACTTCTTGCATATCGTCGTCTCTATCATTAGCTGCCGCAGAATCTACCGAAAAATTACGAGCCCGCCTAATTTATCAAAGTCGCAACCGTGGTATTTTAGAAAACGATCTTCTCCTGAGTACGTTTGCTAAGGAAAATCTAAATAAATTCACTGAGACACAACTGCGCGAGTACGACGCTCTAATTAACAACAGTACTACTAATGAATGGGACATTTACTATTGGTGCACGGGCAAAATGGAAGCTCCAGGACACGTGAAGAACAACTCAATTTTTAGGCTACTTGTTGAGCATACAAAAAATGCAAAACGTGAACAAAGATTTCATATGCCGCCCCTGTGAAGAAAATTGTTTAAGCGTTTTTTTATGTTATCGCCCACTTCTTGAATACAGACTAGTAGTGCTTGGAGTAAGAAGACTGCGGATCCGTTTCACAGAATCAGAAAGAGTAGCGTATGATAGAAACTAATAATTATAATATGTAAAAGAGAAGAAGGATTCCAGATAAAATTAAATTATTAAGTGTGTTTTCTCTGTTCGTTTTTAAAGATGCAATTGTGTTTTTTATCTGTACTTACGTTAGGTTCAGTTCGATATTAGTTCTCAAAGTGAACTTACCGAAAATTCAGTTTTAAAGTGTGCACAAGTCCATGTAAGCCTTAAACTTATTTTGTAATGTGTAAGGTTAAAAAAACGTACTAGGGCGTTCACGAATATTCTCGCATACAGAGAGACTCTTCCTCTCTCATCTGTCTTTCGTGAGAAAGCTAGGAATTCATACGGATATTCAAGTAAACTAAACCGAATTGTGTGAAAATGAGAAACGGATGATAAGCTAGTAAGAGGTACAAGATTTAGACTGGCATGCACTACGGGGTGAATTTAAGATAATAATTAAAATACATTGCTTATCCATTACTCGTATACAAGTTAGATACAGGTGACTTTCGCCACGTTGAATTAATGAAAATTGTAACATACTATCCTTTGCCAATATAAGGAATGTGTCATATACAAATATAAGGTTACGACATTTGGATTTGCTATCCAGCTATATTTTTCAGCTCCTTTCTGTATTCTTGAAATTTCAATATCGTTCCGTACAGCGTCTAAGAACGTGTTTTTCGAAATTTAAAAGAAGGCTTATGTTAATTTCATTTAGATGTGTTATAGGCCGGTGTCAGTGATTTATTATTTTGGCATTGCCTTTGCTCATACTTTCAGTTTTCGTAAAATCTTGTCAAACGTTTCCATTTCTACGTCGGGAATGTCATAGTAATTCATCTATGCACTCATTTTACACTGATAAAGCTAGAAGTATAAAGCTGTTTTGATTCACCTGTGAGCCCCGAAGTTTAGTCTGGAAGTTTTTTCTAGCTCCGAAAATAAACCTACATTATCTTTCCATAGCTCATTCCTTTATAATTTGACACGAATCTGATAAAGAGCATACTACATCGGAGGTTTAAATTTTAGCGCGTGTCCGCTTCGCTCCGCCCGAACTCGCCTGACTGATTGGCCTTTAACTTTACCACTCGCCATTTTGTGTTGTTTACCTCCGTTGGCGGAGCTGGCTGTGAACGGAGACGGAGACGACGAGAGACTGCTGAAACGGATGCTTATCGAGTGGTGGCGAAGAAAACGCTCCGAGTATCGAGTGTCTTGCCGTCCTCTGTCGTGTTGTGTGTTTTTGTGTGTATGTTTTGTGCCTGTTTTGAACTCCAGTGTCGTTTCCGGCGCTCACATAGTGCAGCCCGAGTTTCAAGTCCCGCGCAGTGCCAGTCGGCAGAGCGTTATAGTAGCTTTTACCACAAACAGCGATGGAGGCCATAGCTAAGCACGACTTCAATGCGACGGCTGATGATGAGCTGAGCTTCAGGAGATCCCAGGTTCTAAAGGTGAGCCATAACCTTGTGCAGTCGTGATGGTGTCGTGGTGACACGAAATTGAAGCGCATTACACACGGGCTTGCATTGGCATTCGTCAACGGGACGCAGGAGAGAGGGAGGGCATTTACAGCAACCTCAGGCTACCAATAATCATGGGGGCGACCACAAATCCCCCAACCTATTAGTGTCTCTATTTTATCTATAACCACCGCCCTTAAGTGGATCATAAGCTTTGTCCTGTCTTGTGTATTTTTTTGTATGCGTGTTTTTAGTGCATGTGTGTGTGAGAATAATGTTCCGCTTTATTGTAGCTGTCTTTGGCTTTCCGCACGAAGCGGTGTGACCAGAATTCGATTCTTTTCTGGGTTCTACTACCTTTGTTGCAGCTTCTGCTGGTAGCCGCAGCTGCAAAACGGATAGCCGTTGATTACGGTGATTGCCGCAGCTATGATTGAAAAATCTAGAAAAATGCAAGCTGAAAAAAAACACTTGGTTGCTAGTGTTCTCGTTGGCGTAAGCATCGTTTTGTTTATACCTGTGCAAGCAACACAATCTACTATCATATATATATATATATACCATATTTGTTTATAGAGTAAATATACTAATGATAGCTATTATTGCGATTATTATTCAAGAAGTGCAAAGTGTAGCCGTGCGTTGTCCAAAGAATCCGTCGGTCATTTCAGTTTCTCTTTAACAAAAAATCGATATCTTTTAAGATTTAAGAGTTCTGGAACTCTTTTTTACGTTGTTTTAGATATAATGGTCTATATTGTTAGGACTGTTCGATATTGCGCTGGTCCGCTGTAGTCGTTTGGTGTATTTCCTGTAGTTCGTGCGACCACATCGCACTTAACAATCCGCGGTTCTATTTCTGCTCTCCCAGCAGCCTAGAAGCATCTTGATCTGCCTTTATTTTCAGGCAGAGGATCCAATTGCTATATACAGCTTAATGTGAATATGACGTTTAGCTCAGAAAGGGAAGAAATGATTTTGTCACAACAGTTCTCTGGATCGTACTCAGTCGTTATCCGCTCCTTAAAGAGAGATAACTTGCTCGTTGGAATAAGCGCTCGTACTTTAAATCCTGTTTCACCACTCTCATTCTTCTTCTCAGTGAATACTCGCCATCGTATCAGAGGCACAGAGTTGGTGGGAGGGTCCCACTTCAACCCGATGGGTCCGGGTTGTCCTTCGCTACGCCGGACGCTACTCCTTGTCTGAGTGCGAATCGTGCAGGACCGTATCAGCCAGCTGGGTTTGCGTTATATCGTACATAGCTAGTTGGAGCGGAGCGCATTAAGTTTCTGCGGCCGACCAAAAGACTGATCCGCTGGTGTTCCTTTAAGAGGGTGAGTGTCGGAGTGTGAGTGGGCGATGGCCCCACGGGCAGCAGAAGATGATGCTTTAGCTGTTGTTGTCGTTCCTGCTGCTTCGCGTGATAATGGTGATCGCGCTTCTGTTTTTCGAACCGCAAACAGACGAAGAGAGAAAGAAAAAAGAAACGGGTGCTCACTGTTTAGGATGTTGCTACTGCTTCTGTTGATGCTATAGCCTCGACTTCTTTTAATACCCTACTACGGGTACGAGCACTCGTCGTCGTACGTTTATTTTGCCGTTCAGAGGCGGTCGGTAGGACTATTCGCTATTCGGAGCCATCGGATGCCGTCTCCGCCTGCCGCGCCCGTTGCTCCTGCTGACTAAGTTTATAATGGCGGAGAAAGGGATCCTTCAGCAGTCAGTGTGTTATCTGTAGGCCAATGAGTGCAAGAGCAAAAGGTTAACAAAATTCGACCACAGCGATAGCATAGTAACGAATTCCAGCTATGATAGTATAGAAGTTAAGCTGTCTGCTTTGTAGCATGTGTAATACAATACGTAATTGTCTATGTTATAAAATTACTGATCTCTGAAATGATTTGTGTTTCAAGATCGACATTTTTATATTATGGATATTAAAATATGAATAGGAATTATTGGTTGGGTAATCTTAATTTGGTAAAAGCCAACGGGTTAAGCTCAGCCCGAAGGGTTGAGCAAAAAACTAGTGACACGATTATTTGGTTATGGCATTGAAGTATAAACAGAAAACGCATGCGCATGTGCAAAACGAAAACTGTAATGAATTTTAAGTCAATGCATACGGCGGAACAAACCAGTACCAGTACAAAATAGTACGGATAATTTTGTATGTCCTGTAGTGTAACAGCATCTCACATCGTATAGTATACATAACGGTTGTAACCATCATAAATCATTTATTGACCGATTGACTTTTCACGTCCTTCCAAATTATGCGGGCCATGTCGTATAAAGTTCATGGTATTTTGTCTCACAAAATCTAGGAGCCCGTAATTCAACTGCAAAGTATTTCTAATCAGTATCGTTCTTCGCATGTGCATCGAGCTTGGCTGTTGCTCACTTTGAGTTTACTCATGTATGTGAATCACTGCGTAAATTGTTCCAAGTATCGCTTCCCTCCGTGCAGCGCGTTTGTCTACATCGTCTGTCTACAGAGATGGTGACGGATGATCCTCTCGGTTCAAGAAGTCTCCATCTTGTGCTCAGTACTTTGTATCTTTTGACGTCCGGCACATTTCTTTTGGCGCAAGCAGCATTGCTAGCAGCAAAGAGAGATAAAGAGAGAATTCTTAGGACTCTGCATTGTTCGTCATACGTCGTTTGAGAAGAAGAATGAGCGTTACATCTCTACTGGTCATCGGGAGTTTGTCTCTGCGGCATACTCGGTCTGTGTCCACACGTTTTCAGTTATCCAAGCTATCTCATGAGTCACGTTGTTGTCATGTATTTAGAGCAGTGTCTACACTCCCTGCGCGGGCGCCATCAGTTCAAACAGTAGTTGCAATGGCGGCGTCGGCAACCAACCATAATGCATAGTACAGGCGTGATTTAAGTTACACAAGCGCAGGCTCGATCGCCGGTTGTATCCACGTGGCCCCTCAGCAAGCTCTTTCGCCTATACTGGCCGCAAGGATGTTGATATATATATATATATCAACATCCTTGTGTGATTATCATCAACAGCAACCGTAGTAGGAGCTGCCAGAGTTACATACAAGTAGGCGATGAGTTGCTTGCCATTGTTATTACTGCTAGATTATCCAGTAACTGCACTCGGCAAAGTATTGGCGCCCAAGTAACGCCAGCAAAAGTAACAACAAAGGTAGCAGCAGCGACACCTATACAAACGATAACAGGGTAGCGTTGCTAATTGGTACTGACTGTGTTCTGTTGCTGTACTCGTTGTGCTGCATATTGTGCCTAGAGATGTCATCTGTGCAGGAGATCGCCCTACTCCCTTTAGTTTGCTGTACTCTGGAATGACACCAAATTAAAAATGTCTACGATTCTCTGTTCGATGATTGCGGTTATTCTGGTATAATGGGGAACAGCCTGCAGATTTGTGCTTTTTGCTTCTATTTGTGTTTTTTGGTTTATGTGCATATGATAAAGAAGTGTTAGTAAATGTAAACGCTGCTTAACTGATGATGACGTCGTTACCCCTGCAAGCAAATGATTTCCAAGGTAAAGTTGACAATAGGAAGGTCTCGTCGCCACCGCCGCCTCTAACAGTTATCGACAAAAGCTGAGCCACGATGACCTCAACGGCCGAGGCAACATTCTTCCTAGCCATAACTGCTGCTGTTGCTACCTTTCGTGTCACAGCTTATAAGACACTTCAGCAGAGGGCAGATACGTCAGGCGGTCAGAAAGGTATGAAAACAGTGAAGTTTTGAGAAAACAGCATTTTGGGTGACAAACAGTGATAAAATAGCACCATTGATGATAATTCTGGCGTGATGATGACCAGGTTTCTGGTGGGTGCTGCATAATTGATCGATGATGGAAAGCGATGTGACAGCGATCTAGCAACGGCGATCCACCCGTCTGTCCACTCGGCCGTTAACACCAGGGAGCCACAATTCCAGTACAATATCGGGAGTAGCAATTACGCCGCTAATAACAACAACAACAAAAAAAGAAAATAGTACTAACAGTTCGACAGCAGTTGTTACCGCTGTGGTCGCGCTGTTGGTACACGTGTTTTTGTGCCGGGTATGATGGCTGCTCACTGACCACCGGCGGCCGTAAATTGACGCTGCTCTTACATCCGCAATGCGCTTATTTAGCTAAATGAACACGGTCGTAATAGCGGTAGCATTAGCGTGGTTAGTACTGACAAAACGGAAAAAAGCCGTTGATGATGTCAGCTGTTGAGTTGAAAGCTATGCCCTCTGATGGTACTTGTGTCAGAGCTGCTGTGGCAGCGACGTCTACGGTTGTAGCCTCTTCTGCTCAGCCATTTGCTGAGAATGTGTGCGCGAAGACCAACTCGATGCGAGAAACAAAAAACAACAGAAAACGCAATAGCGAAGATTCAGAAAGGAAGTTCAGCAATAGCTTATTTTTGGTTTGTTCAATCGGTCTATCGGTGAACCGACGCGTCGATCTACCGATTATTTCTCAACGGCGATAGATGGTTTCGTTATAGTGCAGGCCGAGTTGAGTGGCAAAAACAACCAATAATGCAAACAATATTAAGAAAAGTCTGCTTGGCTACTCTCGTTTATGTTCTACGAGGGCATCGGAGAGCAAAGAGGTGTGTGGGCGGGGAAATAATTGAGGTTGTGAAGGAAAAATTATGTGATGAAAGTGGCCGAACGACCACAAACGTGTGCGCACTGAGTTCCGCTGACATTATTTGTGTTCTTGGGTGACTTGAGTTTATCTCTCGCTCACTCTCTCCTATTGCGTGTATTTGTCTGGAACTGTCTACCTCTTGGTAGCCCGATGCCTCCTATGGCCAGCCGGTGCCAACGCGTCTATTTTTGCTCGTTTTTTTTACCTGTACAAATTACGAAAAAGTCTGGAGTGTGGACAGAGAAGAACAGTTATGTCGAGCTAAATTTGATAGGGATCTATTCAACCCTATAACGTGCTTTCGACTGTGGTGAAACGCTAGCGTACAACTTAAGCGAAGCGGA